GGAGATGAACCAGGTAACGCGCGCAGGTCCACCGGCGGTGGAGGAGGAAGAGGGCGGGGCCGGAATCCGAGCCCAAGGGAAGGCGCGGGCGGCTGGGGGAGAGGGTGGGAGGCGCGGGGCGCCGGCCTGGGCCCGTGGGGAGGACGCCCCAAGCTGCCCGCGCCGCGCGGGCCCCGCTCTCCCCGCGCTGCCATGGTTGCCGGGTCGTGCTGGTAGCCGCGGGCGGGCCCCAGCCGCCTCGGAGAGCGCTAGAGCCGAGCAAGCGGGGCGGGAGGGACCAGAAGTTTTTCCTCGAGGGTGCCCAGGGCCTGGGTCGGGGCTCGAGGGCCTGTCGGAAGGAGGGCGCGGGAATCTCGGTTCCCGCTGTCAGGGACTGATGCCTAGTGTGTAGGTCTCAGTGGCGTCTGGACTCTCCCCCGAGAGCCCTCCCAGGCCCCGGCGCATGTAGGCGGGGAGCAGGCGCCAGGCTGCAGCAGTGCCTCGGGCCTGGAGTTGGGGTGGCACCACGTCCCTGATCGCTGTGGGCCGCGGGGTCCTTTGTTCCCGCTCCACGTTGCCCGCGTTTCTTGCCAAGCGCGGGGAGAAGGGGGCGGGAATAGGGAGGGAGCGGCTGCCCTGACGTGTCGGAGCTGAATGACTGCGGGACCGGCCAATCCCAGGCGGGGGTGTGCGGGCTCCGGGCGCCTTGCCTCCCAGCCACGAGAGTGGGGGCGCCCGCCCAACCGCGCGGGGAGGAAGGCCTGGAGCCGCAGAGGAGTTTTTCCGTCGCTCTGGAGCGCTTGCCACTTAATTTTTTACAAAAGAAATCGGCAGAGAGGTTTTGCTCTTCATCCGTGGTTCTATCCATCATGCAAAGGGTCTCTGATTATTAGGAAGGTATCGGGCAGTATCAGATTCAGAGTTAAAATCAGAGAAACTTGAACTGCAAAATATNGCTCTGTGCTGTCTGGCTGTTTCCTTGGAAGCAGTCTCTTGATTTCATATGTTAAAAGATCAGTTTACACTACCAACAGTTGGCTGGTTAGTTCAAGTGAACTAGTGTAACTTTCACCCATCGGTATCAAGTTTTGAGTGTGAACACACACAAGACCTCTTCCTGGATTGAACTGTATAGATTGTGTATATGTCACCACACTTTTGTTTATACATTTGATTTTAAAGTTTACATTAAAAACCCAGAGTAGTATAAAGGCAACCTTGCTCATTTTCAGCAATCAAGCTGATTTTTTAAAAACAGGTGTTTTGGATGAAGGCTTTTGGAAAGCTTAGGTTGCACATTAAAATTCAAGAGGTGAGTATACAGTCATCAGCCATGCAGTCCAATGAGGGAGCAGGCTTTAAGGTCCTATAATGTCACAGGAAGAATGTTTCCATGACAAGAGGAGTTTTAATTCCTAAGAAGATGTTGAAAGAGAAAGAAACTAATAGGGGATTCTGGTGGTTGGGAGAGGAGGCTAGAGCTGTTCTCAGAATGATGGCAGTGATGACTTAGAAAACTAGCAAAGGCCATTCGTAAAATAGCTCAGATAATGCAATAGCCGGTGAGGATAATGCAGGACCAAAGTATTCTGATTTCATAATCTCTGGGTTTAAGAAAAGTAGTATCTGAACAGTTTGTTTTTCTGATATAAAGTCTCTGTGAAAGTTTTACCAGAAAATGGAAGAATGAATATTCTAAAAGGGAATACTTGAAACAATTTTTAAAAGAGGCATCAAGTTCTCAATGTGTTCTACGTTATACTACAGGACAATTTCAATGACCTATTTTAATGGAGGTTTTAAGATTTTTTCCCCATGTTTCTTATGTCTTTTATGCTACTGCCATTTTCTTGTTTCTGCTCTTTGACACTACTAATACACACTAAAAATATTTTCAAATGCCAAAAGAAAAAAGAGAAAGGAGTTGAGAGGATAGCAGTATTGACTGCAAGGAATGACAGAAGTATGAAATAGACAAGTCAGTCACTCAGAGGATAGGAGACACCAGTGGACTAGAGGCAGAGCACACACAGCTCAGCAACGGTTTTCACTGGGCAAAGGACATCCTGAAAATGTAGACAGTTGATCCCAAATAGCGTGAGGTGGTACAGAAGTTTTAAATGTAAACACATTTCCAATTTAATGTTATAGTAAGACTTGTAAAGCACGTGAATTGCTAAGTAGTAATCCTTAATTAGCTCAGCTAATAAGAAAGGTAACGTTTGGGACAAAATGGGAGCCTGTTCAGATGCCCAGAAAAGGCTTTTGTAGCTGCAATGATTTTCCAACTTTCATTGAAACAAACTAGTTTTTCCAGCAAGTTGTTGGGATGCTTGTCAGAATGTCTCAAGACTCCTCTCCCAAAGATCTGGATTTAGCAGTGGTAGGGGAGGATTTCTCAGTCTTGGCTCTCTCGACATTTGGGGTAGGATCATGTTTTGGTGGGGGGCCTGTCTTGTCCACAGCACAATGTTCAGCAGCGTCCTGGACAGACTACGCAGTGGTAATGTTATCAGAAATCGTCATATGTCTCCTGGGGGCAAAAGTCACTCCCTCCTTTGACCATCACTTGCCCAGTGTGAGGCCTAGGGACCCTCATTTCTAATAAGAAAGAACATCCAGGTGATTTTGACACATGCGGTCAGTGAGCTAACCTTGAGAAGAAACACTGAGTCCACGTGTTAGGAGTTGAATTATGTCCTCTCCAAAATTCTTATGTTTAAGTCCTAATCCTTAATACCTCATACTGTGACTTTATTTGGAAACTGAGTCACAGGTTTTGTTAAAGTGAGGTCATACTGGAATCAGCCCCCAATATGCCTGGTGTCCTTAGAAATAGGGAAAATTTGGGCACAGAGACAGGCACCGAGGGAAATATCATGCAAAGATTGGAGCTACGTTGCCATGAGCCAGGGAACTCCCAGAAGCCAAGAGAAAATGCTGGAACAGATCCCTCCCTAATGCCCACAGGGGGCACGTGGCCTGCAGATGCCTTGATACTTCTACTGTGCAGAATTGTGAGACAATAAATTTCTGTTGTTTAAGCCATTCAGTCAGTGGTACTTTGCTACTGTAGCCCTAGCAAACTAATACATAAACAATAAGACACAAGTCAGAGTTTAGGATTGAGGCAACATTTGAAGCAAGTTCAGAATGGAAAATGGGAAGATTACAGATTGGCAACAATCCTACTTTATATTTTAGTGCCTGACATAAAAGAGGAGTTGACAGTCCTTATTAAATACTCTTTGGAAATATCTTGTCTGATGTAAATATTAAGAGAAAAACACTAATATTCTTTGTTACTTTATACGATTGAAATTGCCCACCATGTTCCATTTTCAAGTTTTCATCTGGATTATACAGTAATTATATAGACAGGCTTAAGCCTGGAGTTGCCTAGAAAACAAATGGAACGCATACTGTTACTCATAGAGAAGGTGATATATAAATGTGAAATACCACACAAGGCAAAAATGCACTGACTGATCACACTGTAGCTTTAAGAAAAATGTTCACTGTTTGAGGTCACAAAGACCACCAAGAGTACAGCAAGTGGGACCCTGTGTCCAGCAGGCAACACAGTTATGTGCCTACCCTCAGTGAGCAATTCATTCTCTCTCACTATTAGGGTGAAGCATTAAAAGAACTTAAAAGGTATGTATTCTCATAGCATCGTTTGCAATAAAAGTGAGCAGTGTTTTCGGTTATTATTATCACAAGACAAAAACAAGAGCCCAGTGGCAAATGTCAGTTCTCTTCTCTTTAAGATATAAGAATCATACTAATACTTTAGTTCCCATTTCCTCCCACAATTGAATTGGAAAAAAAAGGGGGGTAACAAGGTTCCTTGTCTTAAGATTTTTAAATGAAAAATTGTAAAGCTTCTATTGCAGATGAAGGCCCCCAACACATTTTTTTTCCTGCTCCCGTAAGCACCAAATAAAGAGTTAATGATACAGAAAGGTGGGAAGCATTGACAAAAAGCTCCTAGAAATGTCTACGAATTAAGTTGACTGACCAAATACAAACAAGGTTAGGCTTAGACTGCTTACGTACAGTCCCCAAATGAGGATCCGCTAACAGGACATTAACCTGGAAGCCTTGGCCAAACCCTGAACAAGTTCACCTCACTGAATCGTCTCACCTTCAAACTAGGAAACTTCCAGCGTGCCCTTCAGAGTCTCCAAGAAGTTGCTGTCAGAGGCCAGAACCCAGCACGTTTCCCCTTAACAGGTTTGCCTCCTGGGGGGAAAGGTGGTGGAGTGGATTGACTGACATCCGGTCTAAAGGCCGCAGGCGGTTAGGATAGGGCCCACCAGTACTCAAGGCTATTTTCTTTTTCCAAAAGTGGGCAAGACCAACAAAAAACTGACTCAGCGTCTCCGTCCGAAAGGAGAGCTGCACTCAGACAAAACAGAAATCCAGGGGATGAAAAGTAGAAGTAAACAGGTTTTTATGGCAGCATTGATGTATATGCCTTCTCTAGTCTCTCCGACTGTTTTTCTAAGTTACTGAATCCTCCCTCCTCGCCCTCAGCGGGCCTCTCCTTTCTCTGTATCTCCGCGCCTCCTCTGCGTAGACACCACCCCCCAACAAAGGTGAGGGCGGAGGGCCCACAGGACTCTGAACCCCAATGCTGTTAGCTCCGGTCTCGGGCATAAATTTGACACCGAGAATCTAATCTCGCACTTCTGCTCTCTCTGGCTACTGTGCCTGTAGGGATGCAGAACAGGTGAGGGCAGCTGGAGAGAACCAGTTCCGGACGGCCCGAAAGGGTGAGGCCTGGAGGGTGCTGGGCGAGGGGAGGCCGGGCGACCGCGCGGCCACTGAGGAGGCGCGCTCGCCCTCGCCCCGAGATCACCTTGCACTGACCTAGCTCGGCTGCGCAGGAAGGAACCGAAGGGTGAAGGACAAGGGCGGGGCGGGGCCAAGAGGGGCGGGGCCGCGAGCGGGAACTTTCTGGGGCTCGCCTGTGATTCGCTGACGGATTCGAGCCGGAAGCGGCCGGGAGGCGCTGGCGGCGGCGGGGACGGCAGCGGCGCACGTGGTGACGTGATAGGGGGAGCGGCGGGAGCGGGCGGCGGCGGCGGCAGTGTCTCCGGGACGCGCAGGCAGGTCGGCCGCTTGGGGCTGCTGGGCAGCGTCTCTGCGTGCTGCTTCGGCGGGGCAGTGCCAGCGAGCGAGTGAGCGACTCCCCGCGACCCTGGTGGCGCTTTCCCCTCCTCGCAGCCTCCGCGGACCGCGAGCTCGTCCTCCAGCCCGATCGCCCTCTCCTTCGCGGCTTCGAGGCGCTTTCCGTGGGGCCGATTCCCTCCCGCTTCCTCCTGCTCCCCATCGCAGCTCCAGAGATGAGTGTTTCCATCTCTACGGAGATGAACCAGGTAACGCGCGCAGGTCCACCGGCGGTGGAGGAGGAAGAGGGCGGGGCCGGAATCCGAGCCCAAGGGAAGGCGCGGGCGGCTGGGGGAGAGGGTGGGAGGCGCGGGGCGCCGGCCTGGGCCCGTGGGGAGGACGCCCCAAGCTGCCCGCGCCGCGCGGGCCCCGCTCTCCCCGCGCTGCCATGGTTGCCGGGTCGTGCTGGTAGCCGCGGGCGGGCCCCAGCCGCCTCGGAGAGCGCTAGAGCCGAGCAAGCGGGGCGGGAGGGACCAGAAGTTTTTCCTCGAGGGTGCCCAGGGCCTGGGTCGGGGCTCGAGGGCCTGTCGGAAGGAGGGCGCGGGAATCTCGGTTCCCGCTGTCAGGGACTGATGCCTAGTGTGTAGGTCTCAGTGGCGTCTGGACTCTCCCCCGAGAGCCCTCCCAGGCCCCGGCGCATGTAGGCGGGGAGCAGGCGCCAGGCTGCAGCAGTGCCTCGGGCCTGGAGTTGGGGTGGCACCACGTCCCTGATCGCTGTGGGCCGCGGGGTCCTTTGTTCCCGCTCCACGTTGCCCGCGTTTCTTGCCAAGCGCGGGGAGAAGGGGGCGGGAATAGGGAGGGAGCGGCTGCCCTGACGTGTCGGAGCTGAATGACTGCGGGACCGGCCAATCCCAGGCGGGGGTGTGCGGGCTCCGGGCGCCTTGCCTCCCAGCCACGAGAGTGGGGGCGCCCGCCCAACCGCGCGGGGAGGAAGGCCTGGAGCCGCAGAGGAGTTTTTCCGTCGCTCTGGAGCGCTTGCCACTTAATTTTTTACAAAAGAAATCGGCAGAGAGGTTTTGCTCTTCATCCGTGGTTCTATCCATCATGCAAAGGGTCTCTGATTATTAGGAAGGTATCGGGCAGTATCAGATTCAGAGTTAAAATCAGAGAAACTTGAACTGCAAAATATTTAAAAATAGAATTGTTTTTTTCCCAGTTGGTAGTGGACAAGTCTATTCTTCGAGACAGCTGACATTTCAAAAATTATAGCAAGTAGAAATCAGATGCCTAAAGGGCGCGTTTTGGTTTCCTAATGTCTGTTGTCAGTGAGGGAAGATTAGAACACCCGGCATCAAGCTGTTCTTTGAGGACTGTGTATGGTGATCTTCTGTCTAGTTTAATAAAGAACAACTCTGGAAGCCTAGTACTATTATTAACAGTTGAACAACTACAGCATGGACTAGACTACCAGAGGCCGTATTTTCTCTTAGTAATTATAGCACCAGGGGTTGATTTAAGCATAAGAGAATATTGATGAATAGCTTTGGGCATAATCCTCCTGAAACTTCTATCTTAAAGATGCTGAAGAAGCAGTTGTATTTGTGTGCCTGGAGATGAAGCAAATAGTATTTAATGGCACCTGACAGGCCATGTATCAAATATTTATAATTTGGTAACTGTAGAGGTAAAACTGGACTAGATCCACTGACCAAAAAAAGACATAGAGTGGTTTTCCTCTGTATTTCCCTAACAGTTAAAATTCTATTAGTTAACAGAGACTGATTTATTAATCTATCTTAATTTGTAGTTGTTTTTTCTAACTTTTCCCTCCAAAACAAAGCATTCCAGGTTTGGGGTTTAGTTTTAAATTAGTGTCTTTTTTGGCCACCTTACCTTGTAGTGGGGTTTTGTTTTCTTGCTTTAAGGGTATTTTAGATAGCAGTTGAATGTGGTTTTGCAAATAGTGTTTTTTTTATGTAAAATGTTTTCCTGTTACAGAAATGTCTGAATGATTGATAATAAGATGAAGTTCACCCAAAAATAATTTCATGACTTTTCAAGAGTGTGATGGTATAGTCAAATCTACATGAAGAAATTCTTAAAGGTTGAGGATTCTCCCACTTTGTTGTGTTAGAGAATATAAATGGAGGAATTACAAGTAAGGGGTGATTTCTGGGTTTTTGTTATAACCACCGAAAATACATGCATATTTTCACTTGTAAACTTCAGTTACCAACTTGGAAGTGATTTCTAAACCTTATACCTAGATTTGGTATTCCTCCACTTTGGGTGTCAACTTGGGTACCCAGTAGATACCTCAGTATTACGTCCCAAAACAAATTCCTCTTTTCCATCCTTTCAGCATGCAACAAACTAAAAATGATCCTGTGATGCTTTTTGGAATTCTAATTTTGATAATGATGCCATATCCAAGCTAAAGTATCTACTGCCTTTGTTTGGATAAGCAAGAGCATGAGATACATGATATCTTCACTAAATTTTTCTGCTTCTGTGTTTTGCCCATTCTGCCACACCACTGCCCCCGCCCCCCATCCTCCCATTTCTGCTAGAGTGTTGGATGTTTCTCCTTGCTGAATCCTTTTCTCCTCTCTACTGTTTAAACCTTAGCATTGATCTCTCTTCCTTCCTCTCCAACCATTGGCCATGTTCTTCCTACAAGCTTGCAATCCATTGCAACAAATAGCTACAGTTTCTGGAATATGTGTGCTGTCATACATCTTTTTCTCCTTCTGTTTGAGCTATTTTCATTGCTTGGCTTATCTGTCTTTTTGGTCCGTCTGGGTTGTATTCGAGGCTGAGGAGAATAGCATTAACACCATTGTGTTATGAGCATCCTATTCCAAACTGTGTTTGCCATATGTTTGGTGCCATAAATGTTTGTGGGATGAAAGAATTACATACAAAACAATGAGGGTAAAAAGCGTGAAACAAGTGAGTGAGTTTTTAATATAGATGGATGGTGATAGTTTTGGAGGTGACACTGAGAATCTATAACTTACGGTTTTAGAAAAAGTCATTGATTTACTTTGTTTTAATAAAGTCTGTCCTTTAAAAATGGAGTTGACTGCTATTTTGTGTGAATTGCCTACTCTCAAAAGACAGCAGAGAAGCTTAAATAATATCTGTAATTTTCCTGGAGGTTTTAAGAATGCTTTGAAAGTTTGATAACATTTTATCTTGCTCTTACTGAAGGCCTGAGAAGAATTTGGGGTCAGGCTATGTTGTGCCTACTTTTTTTTTTTTTTACAACTGTTCGATAAGACCTTTTGAATTTCAGTTCAGCTAATCTTTTTAAGTTTTATGTTTTGTATAACTCTGGGATGTTGAGACTTTGTTTTGACTTTTCAAAGAAAAGAAATTCCCCCTACATTTTTATTCTACCAGTTATTGTGTGTGAGTTTCACAGACCAAAGTAAGATCTTCCATGAATTTTTGGAATAGCTTAAGGCCCAATTTGCCCAAGGTTACTCTGGTGAAAGTGAATGTGAGCTTTCAAAGACATGGTTCTGCAGGCAGGAGTTGATTTGACCTCCAACTTAGGGGTGAGTGAGTACAGACATGCAGTATATGAGGGGCAGTAAGTGAATAAAGTTTGCTGCATTAACTTAAACGTCAAGTGGACTGCAGCTACTTGGTTTGACTGATCAGTAGACATTAAAGAGATTAGATTCATTATTAATACCTTGATGTACTGCGAAATCATCAAGTACTAATTGTAGTAGAACTCACTTTTGGAAAACTAATACTATTGTACAAATTTGTGTGCCAAGAGTTGCTCCAAAAATTCTCCAGTGTTTTCTCTCAAAGAACTGAATTGATTTTAACCATCTGTTGTGTTTTTTTCCCCCAAAACAAATTGTAGGTATAACTTCCAATTTATCAAATATAAATAAATGCCATTTTTCTTCTTAGATCAAAACTACTTTACAAGTAAATACTGAATAAAACTGGTCAGTTTTAAATATTTATAAATCTCAATATCATGATGTGTTCGGTTTTTCAAAGGCAACATTTTAATTATATAAACACAATTTGTATGGAGAGTTCCCCTCCCTCCTCCTCCCTTCACCTTTGTTTTAAGAGCAGCTCATGAAACTGAAGTAAACTGTTAACCAGCTGTGACTGGATTGGCCACCCCAGTATCTACCATATATACAAAGATTTTCTTTAATTTGAGCTTGGTCTTAGCTGAAAGTATGAAGGTTTCTTTAGGATCATGGGTTCTCTCTGTGTACATAGAGTTGTGTGGCACTTGGAAAACATTTGTTAGAACTGGTTTCTTAAGCAAAACTGTATTAACTAATCTAGACGCAAGTGTAGAGCAAAGGAAATCAGTATTACGTAATGGTGTGTTATAGTTTGTTGTAAAGGTAAGCATTGATGACAATTGCAGCTTGAGTCAGAGTACTCAGGTTTCTTTGAAGTAAAGCTTAAGTTATGAAGAAACCAGTTAGTGAACATGGGATCCAGCTTTCTTACAGATTGTGTTTTGAACCTAACATAGTAATTTGTTGAATTAGAACTGGACTAGCCTGCAGTAAGTGCTGGGTTATTCACCTTAACTGTTAGATTTAGAATTGTGGGTTTGATTGATATATAAGGGAAATCCAGGTAATTTTAAGATATTCATTTTTAAAAGTATGCATACCTTTAAGATAATTTCTTACATAATTCTGATGTCCAGAATTACACAGTGGTATAATAGCAGTGCATGTGATTAAAAAATAAATGCCATCTGAATTTGACACTTGTAGTTGATGACGTGAGAGTGAAAGACTGGGTAGGAGGACTGAACGATTATTTTTTGTTACAGTTTCTAGGCTTGTTGTTTTGGTAGGGGCAGATGGGATGGATACAAAGATGAGTAAGACAGAGGCTCTGCCTTCAGGGACCTTGAGTCTTCACAGATAAGCAGGTCCACAGAAGCACCTGCTGGAAGGTTAAACACACTGTTCAAAGAGGGTTCAGTACGTGCAGGATGGGGAGAAACTATTTTTCAACTCGGGATTTTTTGCTAGGGCTCCCTGGAGGTAAGATTTAATCTGACAGACGCTGGATTACAGGTATTCAGAGAAGACAGAATAACCTGAAAAAGAGACTGGGAAGGGCAGAGCACATTCTGGGGAACAGTATGTCTGGTTGGACTGTAACACTGTATACATGCCTGAGAGTAATGTCCAAAGGTTGCTTGCTGGCTGGTAAAATGGACAGCTCACATGTTTGTATATTATTAACTTGGAATCTAATCTTAAAGATGATTAGAGTTAACCAACGTTTATATTTGTTCTCTAATCTTCTGCTTAAACAATCTCACTTAAATTCTAAAAGTTATTAGCTCCTGCCTAATTCTGGATTTGGGGTTATTTTTGTTGTTTGTTTTTTGATTAACTGAGTAGTTGAAGATTAAATGGAAAAATTTTTATGTTCAATTGCATTTGTGTTCAGTATTTTTTGTATTTGTGCCATTTACCTCAAAATCTCAAGATCAGGAATTACTTTGAATGATCTTATCTACCTAGATCAATGGTAGTCTTTTGATCATTCTGAATTATCTAAAATTTGTCATTGTTACAGATTATCATGCATGATTATCACAGAAGAAATTCATGTCTATAGCTTTTAAGGACTTGATTACATCATTTTCAAGCCTGATAGTTTTGGAATCACCATTAGAGCTTCGCCTCTGCCTTCACTTCAGCCACCTGTCTTCACACCTCAACGGAAGTGCTGGGTTTTAACACTCCTTTGTCCTTGGTTCATTTACGACATCCCGGAAACATATTTCTCACCAGTAAAGTCAGTAAGTGAATATTCAGTGCCCAGTGCAGCATTCAGACACTCTTGTTTTTCTGAAGACTGTACCAAGTACACTAACAGACTTTCATAAGTCTTTAAAAGGTGGAAAAGTCAGGAATCGTTTGTAGAAAAAACATTTTCCTTCTTCCTTATATAAAATATTTTGAATTTAAATAAACCAGTTACTTCAAACTGAATCTCCCATTACTGCTTTTTAATGATGGATTTCGTGTAGCCACTTAGTTCCCAAGCAAAGGTGAAATGGAAAAAATTTTTTAAAGAATGTAAGTTTCTATCATGATCTTAGGAGGTAAGTCATTTAGAATATGAGACCTGCAAAGGGAACAGAAATTTAAGTTTCGTATATCAGTTTTTCTCATGTGTGAGTAACGCGGGAACAGCAGCCCACATCCAAGGGAACATGTGATGACCCCTCCACTCCTCCAGGCCCTCAGGTTGCTCGTTGGGTGGGCGTGGGCGTGGGCGGGGCCGGTGCACATTTCTCTCCACAATGAATGTGCTAAAACACCCGGAAACCTGGCCAGAATTGGTGAGACACCCACAGCTGTATGGATCCTTACCAAGACTTACAACTAAAATATGGGGGTAGGGGGGGTTCCAAAGATTGGACATTCAATGCCAGTGTTGTTTCAGCAATATTTTTGTATGGTAGAGTTTTTGTTGATAGGATGGAATTTGAAAATAAAGTATTACTCTCTAAACTGCAATTACAAAAATCGCCATTCACAAATAAAATAACTTGGTTTTCTTTTTGCCCTTTAGCCAAATTAATAAGGAAAAATGATTCCCAATGGATATTTAATGTTTGAAGACGAAAATTTCATCGAGTCTTCTGTTGCCAAATTAAATGCCCTGAGGAAGAGTGGCCAGTTCTGTGATGTTCGACTTCAGGTATTTAAAATTTAACTGGAAACTTACAGAATTGATCTTTTATTGCTGAAAGCTGTAAGTCTTGGATTTGCTTATTTTCTTTTTTGTAGGAGGCACTTAATGAAATAACTTTTAAAAAGAATAATTTACCTAGAAATGTAAGGTAAAGGATCTGATGTGATTATCTAGAGAAATACACAGTCCACAATACTTCTAATTTTAATTCCTTGTGATTTCAGGTCTGTGGCCATGAGATGTTGGCACACAGAGCAGTCCTGGCATGCTGCAGTCCTTATTTATTTGAAATCTTTAATAGTGATAGTGATCCCCACGGAGTTTCTCATGTTAAATTTGATGATCTCAATCCAGAAGCTGTTGAAGTCTTGTTGAATTATGCCTATACTGCTCAGTAAGTGTTTTGAAATAAATCATATAATTAGGGAATATTATCAGGAAATTCCAAGTCTCTCTAAATTTATATTAAGTGCCTTGTTTTAAGGCCTTGGTCTCCTAAGTGACACAGGAATTTTTTCTTAATAGGTTGAAAGCCGATAAGGAATTAGTAAAAGATGTTTATTCTGCAGCAAAAAAGCTGAAGATGGACCGAGTAAAGCAGGTAGAGTACCTGAAGGCAGCGTACAAGGAGTGCTGTCACTAGGGAGTCTTATTTTATATGATTAGAATGTATCATTTGTCATAAGATATTTGTTAGTCTCAAGAATTTGAAAATATCCCTTTTTTTCCCCTAGACAACTGAATATGTTATTTTAACTTTGTAGCTGTTACAATGTAGTAATATCACACTTTTATCAGATAATTTGGACTATACCCTTGCTCTTCCAGTAGTGTTCTCTGGCAGGATGGCTGTGTCAGTTTCTGATAGCATATTCACAATAATTCCTATTTTTCTCAAGAGTTAGTCATATAACTTCTCACTTTTCTGTTTTTCTATGCTTTGGGTTCCTCTTTAAAAGTATTCCTTATACAATTTAACACCATTGAGAAGTGCTAATAATTCATAGGAAAAAAAGCATTTAATCTACTAATGAAGATCATGCCAGCTGCCTGTTTTTATGAAGTTCTCTTGGAATACAGCTTGCATTGACATAAGGCCTACGGCTGCTTTCTATTTACAGTGACAGAGTTAAGTAATTTTGCCAGACACAGATACGGCCCGCAGCCTAAAATGGGTGCTATCTGGTCCTTTAAGAAAAAGTTCCTTGGTGCCTCTTTGAACATCACTCCTCTTTTTAAAAATCCTTCTGTGGTTTATAGCACATATCCCTCAGGTTGGCGCTCCAGGTTCTCGTTAATGTAGTTGCTGTTTTTCCAAAATTATTTCCTAATTGTCTTATCTTTTGCTCCAGCCAGGATACATTGTTTGCCACATCTTCTGTACTTCCTGTCTGCATCCAACAGTATCATCTCTCCTGTAGCGCCCAGTTCAGATAGTGCCTTCATGGAGCTTTATCTCTAGTTGGAAATACTTGTCCGTGCATTTCATGTGCATTACCATAGCATTTCAGTTTGTTGTACCTTTCCTTAAACAACTTACACATTTATAAGGCATTCTTTGATGTTTACTGTTGTATACATGTGTTCCTCCCACTGTTAAAAGTTCTTCTGTTGGGGCAAGGATTTCTTATTCATCTTTGTATCTTCACATAGGGCTTACACATTGGCAATTAAATATTTGTTAAGTAAAATATATATAAATTTTGGTACTCGTGTATTTCTTTTCCAAGGTTTGTGGTGATTATTTACTGTCTAGAATGGATGTTAGCAGCTGCATCTCTTACCGAAATTTTGCAAGTTGTATGGGAGACTCCCGTTTGTTGAATAAGGTTGATGCTTATATTCAAGAACACTTGTTACAAATTTCAGAAGAGGAAGAATTTCTTAAACTTCCAAGGCTAAAGGTAAGGAATAAACCAATAAAGAGATATATACTACCTAGTTACAGGCATGGATTCTTTGTCTGTGTTTAAAGCAAGTGAGTAATGGTTGTAAAAAATAATATATTGAAATGATGCTGTTTTTAGCAATGTGGTGGACTGCCTACAAGGTGGTTTACTGTCTTTGGTTTTTGTACTCCTTACAAATTAGAGTAAATGGTACAGAATGCACTTGGGCAGTTGTGACAAGTTTATTATGAAATCAAGAATTAAGCTGAGAGTTAGAGGCTCAACACTGATCCGTGTGTCTTTGTTTTTACTCCCAATTGTAGTTGGAGGTAATGCTTGAAGATAATGTTTGCTTGCCCAGCAATGGCAAATTGTATACAAAGGTAATCAACTGGGTGCAGCGTAGCATCTGGGAGAATGGAGACAGTCTGGAAGAGCTGATGGAAGAGGTTAGTTTTAAAGTAAATGGGATTCAGCAATTCTTAAACATTATTTTGCTACAACATGAAGGATTCCCTTTCACTTTTATTTTATAACCATGACCCTAAAGAATTTAAATTTTGCTATAGGTACCCCTAAGCTGAGAGCAGGGGGGGTGTCCAGGTGAGCTGAATGAACTGTTCAGTTTGGTCTTCTGCTTTTCTTTTTTATTTCTTTGCTTATTATGTGCTGTTAACTTTCTTTAAAGTAGCATGTAATTTGCTTTAGAAGTGGGAGGTGGTACTGAAATTTTCTGTAGATTCTTGATTTTTCTTCACAGGTTTTTGCTTTAAATTTGCAAGTAGGTAAAAGCTTCTAATGGTTGTTCCTCCCCATTGATTTATCTCCCCATAGGTTTATTAACAAAACTAGGATACCCAAGACTGAAGAGACCAGAAGAAACCTCAAGTGTATTGACACGTAAAGAAGCAGCTGTCCTGCCCCAGCTCTCCTAAGAAAACCCGCTGTGGGCAGAGAACGATGATGATTTAATGGTGTTTACTCCTTTACAGGATTCTTCTCTCTAAAGCTTTGTGTTTTTCAATGGGGTTGTTCATACATATACTCACTTCACTTGGGCTACTTTTTTAAAAGTACACATGAAAAAATTGATGGAGAGATGGTGGGAATGAAACATCTGCAGAGGAGCAGTGGAGTGACCTTGAGTTTACCCCTCCACTCAAGCCTTCCAGATTCACTGAAGGCTCACCCAACCCGTAGGCCTTTGAAACTTCTGTTATCATCATGTTCTGAAAAGGCTAACAGGCAATCTTTAAATTCTGTATGGTTTCCCCACTTGGAAATCAGATGCATTAGCCAGTTACTTGCATCTGTTAATAGAGGTATCTCTATAACTCGTTTGAATTTTTGCATTTGTTTTTTTATCTTTTTTTCTTGACCTTGCCTACAGGACAGAAATGTTATGCAAATCAAACCACTTATCTTCAAAGGTGTAAACATACTGAGTGAATTTTATTGTGAATATGTATAGTCTTTAAGAGTCTATATATAGTACTACTGCTTTTTTTCTTAATGCTATCTAATAGAAAGCTATGAGAAAATTATGAAGATTTCTTTCAATCCACTCAAGCCAAGGACTCTTCAGCCAGTATTGGAAGATTTTGTATTTTATTTTTGTTTTTCAAATTTTTACAACCATGACATGTATTTCCTTTACTTGGGATCCTGCCAGAGCAAGAAGTCAAGAGGCTCAGGAAGCACACTGGAGGTTACCTTGAGGCGTTTGTGTGACGTGCAGACTAGTGGAGTGGCCGTGGAGACAGCAGCCACATGGGTGTTCTGTTGCTGTTTTGCAGGTTCAAACCTTGTACTACTCAGCTGATCACAAGCTGCTTGATGGGAACCTACTAGATGGACAGGCTGAGGTGTTTGGCAGTGATGATGACCACATTCAGTTTGTGCAGGTACACATTGCACATCTGAGGTAACCTCAGGGTAAAATTTGATTAGAGCATTTTACAGTATACTGAAATTTTCCTTTAATAAAGGAAAGTGGAAGAATTTCATTGGTAAAGCTGGACAGAAACATTTTCGGGCGAAAACAAGCTTTCTTAGTTGCTACTGTTTTGCCATATAAAAATAAATTAGGAAATCCCATTTAGAATTTTTACTCAATAAGGTAGAATTTACAAGTAGTAAGGAAAAAGGCCAATGAGATGCAGCAACGTACAAATTACTCATTTTGGTCAGATCACAAAAAATTAATAGTTTGTAACAGGAATGACTAGCAGACCCAATTTTTTAAAAGCTCAGGTATAAACTTTATTAGTTTATGGACAAGTAGCCTTGAAAAGTGTACAAATCATAAATGTTACATAGTCAACCCACTTAAACACTACCTGGGTCAAGAAGAGAAGATGGCTATCATCCTGCAGGCCTTCCTGTTGCCCCTTTCAGTCACGTCCCTACACAACCCCAAAGGAAACCGTAATCTTCACTCCTGAAATGATAGATTTATCTATACTTGAAATTTATGTAAATGGTCATGTAGTACACATTATTTTGTTTGGCTTTGGCTCAACATTGTATTTGTGAGGAGTGAACTATCAAGTAGGCTGAATTGACCCAGCTTAAGGGTTATTTTCCTTTAACAGAAGGTGAATGATAGACTCAGAAACAGCCTATGTAAGTGATGTTACCAGGTGTTCTGTGGCAGTAGTGGCCAAACATCTTTATTTTCACAAAAAGTTTTTGGATTTGAGTTAGTTGAAAACATTGTTCATGTTTGTGCATTTTGGACATTTACCGTATTTTCTTTCGACTCTAATCTTAAGTTTACATTTTTTTAAAAGTAGTCTTTGAACCAGCAAAAGTTATAATGCCTAATTAGCAGGCTATGATGTTACAGATGGGGACAAAAATGTGTAAGAGATTTTCCACTTTCAAGACCTTTAGGAGTAAGTTAGAAAAACAGACTTAAAAGGTGTTACAAATGGCATAAATGGGAGGGCAAGTGGAGCCAGGAGAGGAAACTAGGAAAATTTCAAAAGGAGGCAACATTTCAGCAGGCTCAGGATTTAGAAGAGTTTGCACAGCAGCCAGCGGGGAGGTGTGTCAGCAAAGAATACCTTATACAAGGAGGATACTTTTGGGATTACAGGTCACAGATTGGGAAAGTAGGTAAATGCCACCTAGCTGGGGTTACACATTATCCCACAAGTTGTGGGAAACATTCAAAGAATTTTAGCCAAGGGATTAGAGTGATGATGAACAGATGTATTTCATAACTTTAATACTGAAAAAATGGACAGTAGGCCAACAATAGGGGGATTGTTTAAATCATGGTAGGTACAGCAAAAATATCTACGTGTATTAATCATGTTTTAGACAAAGGTTGACTGTCAGGTAGAAGTCTCGGGGTCTTGGGATCCCAGCTGATTTGTGGTTCTTTACTTTACAAAATGATTGCATTAAACCCTATTTTTATAAGCAGATACAGAGGGTAGTAAAGCTTGTGAGACCAATTTGTAGACATGAATAGTAAGTAGTTCAAGTGAAAATATAAAGGCTTGGTCTAAGTGGAGAAAGGGTGGACTTCAGCCATTTGTAATTACAAAGGTTGAGTGAATCCTTAGTGATTGTTTAGATTAAGAAATTAGGGAAAAGGAAGAATTAGGAGAGTGGGATTCTGACATATTCTCATTAGAAGGTGGTGCCATGAACAGATCACAAAATAAAAAGGATGAAGGGACACATTAGACTTCAGGAAAAGGGGTTGAGAAGAAGCCATTAGAAAGGTAGTAGGACAATTAGAATTAAATTGTGTTACAAAAGCCAGATAGCAGGAGGAGTAATTGTGAACTGTTTCAAACCATTCTTGCAGGAGGTCTGGTAGAAGGTTAGGGGTACCTTTTCTGCATCGGTCCTAGGAAGTCACTTAATAACCTTTATCAGGTATAATTTCCTAAGAGTGTTAAGGTTTAGAAACTCTTAGCTTGTAGTGGCTGAAAAAGAAACAACCTCTAAAGACTACCACCTGGAAACTGGTGGGGAAGTGTGTGTGGGCCTATGGGTGGGCTGGGTGGGAGGACTTGCTAAGGGAAAGTTGGAAGTTAAGGGAGAGTAAAGGATTATGTTAGAAATGTTCCACAAGGAACATAAAGAAGTTAACCAATATTTCTATGTAAAGCTTCTTAGTTATGTAATAGCTGTTTTCAGTGCTGTATTGCTGCTTTACCTCTTTCACGCTGGTTTTTCCCTCAGTTATGATCTATACATTAGAACAGTTTTCTTACTAAGATAAAAGCTTTTAATGTAAGCATCGTGGATTTGTGATATTTTGGATCCCTTCTTCCCACAGACTGGGATGGGGTTTTATGTACCTTGTAATTCCTAGTAGCAGAGAACACAGTCTGTCCTAGTATACAAGCGGTAGGTTTATATGCGGAATTCCTAATCTTTCAGGTGTAGTGCCTAGGCAATACATAATGTTCTGTCTGAGACTCAGTAGTTTTATTTATAAAATGGGTTGATAATATTCCCCTCATTGGATTAAAAAGATGATGTGAATAAAGTACTTAATATACAGGTGCATAATAAATGTCTAAATGGAATTTAATGACAACCATTATCATAGTATGTTTCTACCTTTTCTTACCTTTTCTTAAAATAGTCTACATATGTATGACCACACTTGCTGAATGGTCCCTACCAAACTGTTGGTAGTGTTTTCGTAAGTAACTACCAAAATCTTTCCCTCTATTGTTAAGTGGCTTTTTGCTTCAACTAGTAACAGTAATTTCCACTAGAAATCAACGCATGTGGCTCTAGCCCTGAGGACCAAAATAAATGGATGAACAGAACTGGCCAGGTACTGAAAGTGGTCCCTGTTCATTTGATAGTTCTTCTCAGGATAGTCTTGATTCTAATTCCCTATGATCTTATCCTTTGCAAGTGTCAGGAACTAAAGTGATTGGAAGAAAGCCATCGAAGGCAACTCATGCATTACAACACAATTCTCTTACAGTTGTTTGAAAATTTGCAGCTTTGCCCATTTCTCCCTCTCTTCCTTTGTATTCTACTTTTGTGAATGTTTGGATCTAGTATTAGCATTTATTTCTGATTACTATTTTTAATGTTTGCTTTGTGTTGGCAGTGTTGTCTCAAAAACCACTCTGTAATATCTATCAGTTAGTCCTGAAGAAATACACTTTCAGGTGTTTCTTGTAATTGCCACATTTTTCCTGTAGAATACTTCTAGAGAGAGTGGATGAGTCTATCTGCTTCTTTTCTGCTTGCATTGTATGAAGGGTACCAGTGTATGTTAATTTTGTTAGGTTTTGACAGTGGCTTAGAGACTAATATATTCTTTCAGTTAATTTCATGCCTTTTAAGTTTATAGTCTATTTTGGAAGATTCTATACTTTATATAAAATACCAGTCTGGGAGCTTATGTGGATTATGGGGCTTTCCCCTTTTTTTTCCCATTGAGGTTTTCTGATTCTTGTTTTTTTAATTGTTTAGATGGAGCTTTCTCTGACCAGGCTATTTGTGTAGCTGTAGTCGTTTCATTAAGTGGAGATGGATGTATGCCATTAAGTTGTGTCAGCTGGGAAGTGCTGGTTTGTGTTAGATGTAGGTGTGCTGTGACTGTCGCACACAGGTGAGGGATGCTCGGTGTTTCTTCAGTGTTGTGGAATAGCTCAGGAAGGAGGCACACCAGGTGCGGTCTGTGGCTAGGTTTCTGTAGCTGCCTTTTGATTTTGCAGAAAAAGCCACCCCGTGAGAATGGCCATAAGCCGATAAGTAGCAGTTCCACTGGATGTCTCTCTCCTCCAAATGCTACAGTACAAAGCCCTAAGCATGAGTGGAAAATCATTGCTTCGGAAAAGACTTCAAGTAAGTATATTACACTTGTCAGATTGTCTTCAGTTTTATTTTTTAAGAAGTGTTGAGTGGAACCATTTAATACTTTAAATTGACTATTTGAGGGGAAAACCCAGAAGCAACTAAAACTCGCATCAGACTGCCCTCGGGAGTCCAGTTCAGGATCACAGTCAACCAAATGAAATAACTGCATCTTAAACAGAGAACTCTTGTGCTTGCAGATAACACTTACTTGTGCCTGGCTGTGCTGGATGGTATATTCTGTGTAATTTTCCTTCACGGACGAAACAGCCCACAGAGCTCACCAACAAGTACTCCAAAACTAACTAAAAGCTTAAGCTTTGAGATGCAACCAGATGAGCTAATAGAAAAGCCCATGTCGCCTATGCAGTACGCGCGCTCTGGCCTGGGGACAGCAGAGATGAATGGCAAGCTCATCGCTGCAGGTAAGAGCGGAAGGGTGAGTGAGTCCTTCCTGGAAACCTTCCACTGGCTGAGCCTCTCAGTGGCCTCTTAGGCTTGTCTGTGGCATGCAGACTAGAGAAGAGAGGGTTTAAAACGCCTTCTTGGCAGTCCACTCTGCCATACTCCGAGACGACAGACAGAGAAATAACGAGTAAATACTGTTGTATTATCTAACCTTTAAGTGAATGTCTGTGTCTAATGCTTAAAAAACTAGAAAAGTGGGTAAATTGTTTTCTGATTTTCAAGCCAGACTAAGCAATTTACTCATACTGATAAAGGTGCTATTCAGCTATTATGAGCACTTAGTTAAAACATCAACTAATGGGGCCTTACTAATAAGTTTGTGGGTAAAAATTCTTTTTTTCATTGTGCACATTACTTAAACTGTTCTGGGAAAGAAACCCTAGTTCAGTTTAATATTTTAAGCATAAACGTTGGTGGTTCCTTTACTAGGTGGTTATAACAGAGAAGAATGTCTCCGAACAGTTGAATGCTATGATCCACACACAGATCATTGGTCCTTTCTTGCTCCCATGAGAACACCAAGAGCCCG